ATAAAACTTCGTCTATACTCTAATAAAAAGTTCCCCAGACCAAAGAGGTCACCTTAATACCAAAAAAAAAAAAAAAACTATATATATAATTAAATATAGTATTTTTATTATATATATGATATATACTGTATCTGATATTAAACAAAAAATTATTTTTATAAAATAATTAATGTAAATAGTTATTGTATAAATCATTAAGTTTAATTAGCTCGTCAAAGTTATCTTTTGATACAAACTCTTCTATATGTTATTACTTGTTTTATAATACTGTATAATCTAGAAGACATTACAGCACACACGAATAACTTAATTAAATTTTTGCCAACAAATTATAAAAACACATTACGCATAGTATTTTTTTGAATAATTTTAAAAAAGCAATAATAATTTTAATAGCGCACTCATCGTATAAAAATAATCATATAAAATAAAACAGTTTATTATTATTATAGACAATATACGTATAATAAAAATATTCTAAATGTTTATTTAAACATGTAAATATTTATCAATCACTAAATCTTAAAAATCTTAACCGATCGGGAATATGCCGATAATTGTCATCGTTATACGTAATTATAATTAAAAAAAATTGGCGGCATGTTTTTTTTTTTATTATTAACAAAATATTGTAACAATTATCATTGAAATTTTAGCCGATCAAGATTATTATCATCATCTTATTATAGATTATCTAATAAAACATGTCTAAATTTAAAAAAGATCAGCTGCTATTGGAAATTAATTTCACTAATTCAACACCAATTTCACTAATAATAGTAAATTATTAAATTAATTTACTACTCAAATTTTATTATATAGTACGTACGTCTGGTGAAATTGATTTTATGAAAGAATTTGGTTGATTTCTGAAACCTTTAGTTCTCAATTAGTGTAATTCTTGAGTAACAACATTAATAAAAACGCCAGGAAACTGAATAGGAATTTTTATTGAAAAGTAAATAGAATTTTTATTTATTCTTTGCATAACAATCATCAGTAAATACTGCAATAGCATGAAAGAAAAGCCACCCAGATTGTTTCACACAAACCCGAATCGAAAATTCGGGTATGTACTCGGATGAGTGAATAATAGCATACATACATGGTGATGAATGATTGGTAAATCAACTGTGATAAGATGTAAATCATTTCCTCATTCTTTTCAATTGAGTCATTAAACATATGGAGTTTTATTACCCCTATTTGTGTGAATCAGGTTGCATTCATTTCTAATAACCAAAAAAATAACCTGTCAAAATTCATTATGTCTAAAAAAAAAACGCGTGGAACGGCGGATTCTTCCGGATTTGTAGAACACTTCGTATTACACTTCATATGTATAATTTACCAAATAAATCCATTATATAAAGTCGAACTCAAAGCATCGAATAAGCCCATCTGCTTTTTAAATCCATTATATAAAGACGAACTCAAAGCATCGAATAAGCCCATCTGCTTTTGAAACCTCTTGACATTTATTCATTGTCGAATTTAACCCTCACTCTCTACACTCTTCATATTAACCAACCAACCAAATCTTTTATATTATAAAAAAATGGCTACTGCTACTGCTACTGCTACAAGAGGTTTTATGAGAAACTGGTATCGAGTTGAAATTCTTCCTATCTATGCTGTAACTGTAAGTATTTTAAAATATATGAAAAAAATAAGATGTCGATTTATATAATAGCTATTTGACAACTTTTATTTATTTTAATAATAGGGTATTGCAGTCGTAGGTGCAGGTTGGTACCTTACTCGTCTTGCTAGAGGGCCCGATGTTATTTGGGACAAGTACGTAATATTATCTTTAAATTTTTATATTAAAATTATTTAAAATTTTAAAATTTATTCTTTTATATACTATATTAATCATCATATCATATTTTATTTCATTTTATGAATAGAAAAAATAACCCAACTCCATGGAACAATGTCGACCAAGGAACACAAGTAAAGCTTATGGCCGTAAATCAGAAGTTCGACAGAAAGTATGTTTTCGTCGCTTAACAAAAAGTCAACCATTGTATTTCAGGTTTGGTAAATTTGCCATCTATTGAAGTCAATGGAAATCTGTTCACAGAAGCAAATTGCCAACCCTGTTATATACATTATCATTTCCACTCATTTCCTAATCATAATTCGAACATAAACACTATTTGTATGTATATATTAGATATGTTCGAGATAGATTTTAAACCTATTCACTTGACACGAAAGATTTTCTCGCTCGACACTCATAACAAATATTATAGAACATAATTCATATCCGAAGAAAAAGCAAATCATATGTTTTTAAATTTCCCATAATAAATAACGCAACATATAAAATTAAACTGACATTTATTTTCATAATACATAGCAAATTAATAAATGCTTGTTTTTATTTAATAAACCAATACATATCACTATTAGTCAGAAATGTATACAGTAATTATCGAATTATTCTAAAAAAGTTTATTCTAGAAAACTACATTATAAGTTATATCGCATTAATTGTACGATATTTTATTCATTTGCAATTTATTTTCTCGCCACATAAACTTTAAGAAAGCTTAAAAAAAAATGCGAAACTCAAAGACAAAAAATTTCATAATTTCTAGATATCTTGATTGAAGTCAATACTTGTAATATGGACAATCAAATGAATCTTTTAAAAAGTCAAATTCGTATTTAATATTCACACATTAAATTAACCACTACTAATTCTAGTATCAGTAAGGACTTCTCCCTCTATGAATAAATAATCAGAAGAATTAATAAAAGAAAAAAAAAGGTTATATGATTGAGGGAAAATAAAAATTATAATGCGAAGTAAAGAAAAAAAAAAAACATACTTTCATTAATCTCTAGGGGATCTCCGGTGATTTCTTCATGTAACTCTGAAGCTTTTTCAGCGCTTTGTCTTTTCGATTGGACATCGCTACTCTGCCGATGAGATGCCGCCACGAGAGATGATCTTTTTGAAAAAGGAAACCGATAATGTAAGTTAAAAAAGATTCGGTAAATATATATGAAAAAAATTGAAAACTTACAGTTGTCTTGACGAATCGATATCAGCATCGTCGGAAACATCGCCTTCAGTCAAGGAAGGACCTCCCTTAAATTCATCTTCCTTCTCTTCATATAGGCCCTTGGCATCACGTATCTCATATGTAACTCAGGAGGTAATGTTTTTGCTGGATCCGCGGTTACTTCTTCGGGCTCTTCAGGCTCTAATTTTTTTTATAATTAAAAAAGTTATATAATTGTAATTAAATCAAATAATCCATTATTTTTTCACCTTTGGTTGGTTTATACTCTTCGTCTCCATGTTCTACAATTTCCTTGTAAAGGGGATCCTTAACGACTCCCTCATCTGTTGAGTATTCTCGATCATTTAAAGGTGTTGACTCTTCGACAAGCATTTTTTTTTTAATGTAAAGCAAAGTTTGCACGCTAAAGGTTTAAAGACCAAACACTTTGTATTTATACCTTAACAGATAGAATAATCTGAACGGTTATCGGATTGTATCACTACTACGTAATACAAAAAATTCATGGTTTTTTTATAAGCTAAAAATGATGTAATCATATTTGTTTCGCAAGAATATAGTCTTATAAATGTATATAAATGCAGAATAGAAATTCATTTTTGTATGTAATTGTTAAAAACGCTCTAATTTAATGTGAGAAAGAATTTATGCGTCAAATTTAAAAAGTTTTTCGTTTCATTATTAATGAATTTTATATGTCATTTATTATATTGTACATATGTCATATCATAAATTCCAACACAATTACAGCAATAATAAAAATAGATTCACAATACGAAATTTTTACGTTACAATTCCTCGTCGAAAAAAAAATGTCAAAAAACTTAAGGCCCGACCAAGGTAAAATGAGTTTTTAAACGATTCATTAAATTACTGTACTTAATTACAACAACCCGCTTCAGATCAGCATCGAAAGAAGAAAAATTTAAGATGCATATCTCATAGAATTCTAAAGTCCTTATGTCTTCCATATAATAAATTTAAACTACATCATGATCAAAAATATCGTCAACGTGAGGAGGAAGTTACATTACCTGGTCCAGTATTAACTCATCATATGGTCACATCAGGGGTCTTAGCAATGGATCAAATTACTCAAGAGCAACTGCAGTTGCATGACGAAATTGTGAATACTCATCAAACACATGATTATATGAAACGTCAAGAGAAGACGAAAGAAAAAACGCATTACGCCCATCCAAACAAAGATCCGTGTACATATAGTAATAGTGAACAAATTCTTCTTTAAAGTCCTGTAAAGAACTGTTAATAATTTTGCTATAACATATGGGAAGACAGGAATTCGAATTATCTATGATGTTTCAATTATGATTGTAGACATGTGAATGATCCGATACCCGGGTAAAGTTTTTAGACAAAAAAAATATAAATATATATCGATATATATATATAGTTACTATATGATACGTCAAGTGGCTTGGGAAAAATACAACACCATTTCGTTAGGATAAAATTTATATATTAAAATTATTATAACTTGAACAATATATGACTCTGTACTGAGAGCATTCTTATAATAAGTAACTTAAAGAATTACGCACTTAATTAATTTTTACATTATTGTCATTATAAAAATTTACGACTCTGCTAAGTACATGATACAATAAAATCTGAATTTAAAATAAAGTACATATATAACTTCTATATTGATGTTGATGGTTTATATATTGGAGAGATTGAAAAGGTTTAATGACTTGTATTAGAGTGATTGTAATTGTAATTATCCGACAAACTCTTATGATCATGAAAAACTTTCTTTCTGTTATTTTTTTTCATGTATTACGATTTAATTATGTTCAAAAAAAAACAAACTCAGCGAGTGACTCCCTACCAATCATGATCATAAATTATCGGATAACACCATTATTGGGCAAATTTGTGAATAACGGCAATTTGGCTCAACCGGACAAATGATTGGCTGACAAGTGCCGCTTCGCGGCGCTTGGCAGCGCTTGGCAGCCAATATCATTTGTCCGGTTGAGCCAAATTGCCGTTATTCACAAATTTTTGCCCAATAATGTATACTTATCGAACACAATGTATTATTTATGTACATTTGCGCAGTATGCACTTCAGCCATCTGGTCCGGTTTTTTTGTCCTCATAGTACGTAATAGGAGGTCTTTCGTATGATTGGCTGATGTAAATCGATTGCCCGGGTAACTTATTTGTACTTTTTGAGATAACAATGTTCACTAACAAAAATGCTGTAAAACCATTTCTGGATTCAAAAGATTCAATATTCAATGTGCAAAAATAATCAAAATTAGCGACCAAGAATTTAGAAGCGAATTCTTTTGCTATTTATTGCTAGTATATGTTTCAGGAAATTTTTTTATTAGGGTTGCTAATTGATTTTAACAGTGTTGGTCGATAACTTATTTTTTTGATATTAAAAATTTTTTTTGCTATGATTCTTCTATATTAAACGAGAATAAAGTCATAGTCATATCAACTTCCATTATGGCCAAATAATCTATGACAGTTCATAAAGATCATATAGATCATTTAAGGTTATTAGTAAACGCTGATTTTAGTGCGATCAATGAGTTTTGTAAATTCCAGCATGCTACCATTATTTATAATTCATTGATCGATAATAGAAGCCAATAAAATATATAAAAAAAAACAATAATTATTAAAAATTATAATTGATTAATCAAAATAAAAATTTTATCGAATTTGTTTTGATGGTTGTCAAGATATTTTGTTTAAAGTTAGTCAATAAATTAACCATTTATTAAAGCTATATTAGAATTATTGACAACCATCAAACCAAATTCGATGAACATTTTTTATTAATCCTACTGATATGTAGAATCAAAATAAAAAATTTTTATTAAAATTTAATAGTTGATTGTCGGTATATCTTCGTTAAAGCTCATCAATAAATTTTTATTGCGCTTTGCAAAAAGATGTGACAATGTCGTGTAAATTGTAGATTCTGTAGATTTTAAAAATCTTACCAAAGTCAAATAAACATAAATAAAACTGATCGAAAATATGAATTAATAGATAATTTAGGATCTCAAATTTTTCTCGTTATCACCACAAAATCATGCGGTTACATCTTTTTTGCAAAGTGCTATAAACTGTCTATTAAAATTTAAGTCATCTAGAATTTTTTTAAAACTTAAATGAAAATATCTCGACAATTACCAAACCAAATTAGATGAAGTTTTTTTTATTTGATTTCACATACTTATTGAAGCATAACAAATAATTTCATCAAATTTGTTTTGCGTTGTCGAGATATCTTTGTTTGAAAATCTAAAAAAATATTAAATTTATTTAATGATCTTACGTGCAGCTAATTCTATTGGCAAAATTTGTGTAAGCAAAATTTTTTTGGTGGGTTATTGGTGTAGTTGGCTTTAGATGGCTTTAGATAATCTCGGATATACGTAATGTGATTGTAAATGCTGCCTATTTAACAAATACTGTATAGTGCAACAGCAAATGCTCAGAATCAAAATAGCTCGTTTAGATATATTGGAGCTTCAAAGTCAAATTAGAGAATACTATTATATTTTTCTTGTTTATAATTCAACATAGCAAAATTGCTATTGAAAAAATCCTCAAAATCTGTCATTATTTGTTAATTTTGAAGTATATATCTTTTTATGCTAACTGAGCTAATTGATAAACTATTCTAAAATGTGAATAGTTCTGCTATAGTATACCACAAGAACACGATAGAATTATTATATAATATAATAATTTAAATAATTAGAAAATTGTAGTTCTTTGCATATTAATTTCGTTTTTATTCACTACAAAGAGCATAGTAATTTTTGGTATCACCGATGATTTCCATATTATAATCAGGGAATATTCAACTCTAAAAAAAAATTAGTAGTTGCGGCTACGAGTTTTTTGACCCAAAATTATAATCATGGTCAATTTTTTTAGCCACCTAAATTGTCCGGTAAACACATCGAATGAGCAGTGAGACGTTTGAGAATGGCCTTAATATTGTAATGAAATCAACATCAGCACGCATTGTAGAATACATACCAGTTATTTCGTTTTTCGAAACAGAATTCTGAAACATGAATAGAATATAAAAATCTATAGAACATGCAAACTGACCAAATTCGAGAAGTCTCAGGCTTCTTTCTGCAAAACGTACAAGTAAAACATTGATAATTTATATACTTTAATTTATTAAGAAATAAAGATATATGAATAACAAATGCTGTATATAAATAAATTTTATATTAAATAAAGATAAAATATAAATATTATTTAAGGATTCATTATAAAATCCAAAATTCATCAATATGGCATTAAACGATTAACCATTAAGTTAGATAAGGAACTTCGTGAGTGGGTAGACCTAACTGCTTGCAAACATCATTGCACCTATGAGTATTTGTAAAACATCTAGCAATTCCATCTTCACCTAAATTTGTTCCACCGAATCTTGTATTATCAATACAATGTATTGCAGGATCAGTTAATAAGAAGCGATTGGGAAGTTCAATTCCTTGAAGATCACAAACAACCAAATATCCATTTGTATGTTCATATGTAAAATGAACAAATGCTTCAAGAACTGGACGAGGTCTTACAATAACACCCGCATTTGAATTAAATCTTATAAAATTCGCGCCTTGAAGTTCTGGTTCAGTAATATAATAACGAGTCCTGCTATCAATGACAGCACGTACAAGAGCTACATTAAGGAAGTCTACAGAAGGAAAGCCTTTTTTTCCAGCGATCAAATTAAATTTTATAGTAAGATAACTTATTAAAGCAGAAATTTCTACAGACTCGAGATATTTTGCAAATGGATCTCCTGATCTAGTTCTCTTATATTCTTTCATCACAATTGGTCTAGGAGGATTACATTTAGTATTAATAGCGAAATAAGCATATTTCTCTTTACCAGAAGAAAATGGTTGTGGAGCAATCTTAAAATAAAAATTTTTAGCGATAAGATTTTCTTTCTTGAAATATTCCACATTTTTAAGTTCATCACCATTTTTAGGAATATAACAACATAAGAGTACACCTTTATGAATTGAAAGAGTATTCCAATCTGGAACATTAGGATTTATATCACGTATTTCATGAGAAGAATTTACACTTCTTCTAGAACTAAATGAACTTTTTGATGAACTATTTGATAATATTGAAGTAGTAATAGAAGTTGTAGTAGCTTCAACAAATTTATTAATCAACTCAATTGGATCACCACCAATAAGATCAAAAGTTAAAAAATCTCCAATAATTTCACGAAATACTTTAATCATTGTATCAGTATGTCTTGTAATTTTTCCAAAAAAATAATAAATATTTTCAGATAACACTTTTTCTAATACAGACTCAGCAGTTAAACCATGTGGATCACCATTTGGATAATCATCACTTAGTGTAGTAAAACGTTTACCATGTGGAGGATAATCTCCAATATGAAAAATAACACGAGTTCCATTGCTCCAAGACATTTGAGTGACAGCAGCATTAAGACCTCCAAGAACATCTTCAGGAGAATCACCACCGCCAGTAGCTGATACAGTAGACAAATTTTTTCTAAAATCTTCATAAGAGTTTGTAAAATCAAAAATTTGTAGACGAGAATTACCATCACAATGATCACGATAACCACAAAAACCAACTTTAACTTTAATACATGGATTCGTATTTTTAAAGTATTCAGCAACTTGTAAAATACAATCTTTGGCAGCAGCGATATGACCTCCCATAGAGCCTAAATAAATTATAAAAATTAAATTAGATATCGAATTTATCGAATTTAAAAGTTTTTTAATTTAGGAAGTACAAACCAGTACAGTCTAAAACGTAACAAAGGTCAACTTCCATTGAACGATCAATTTTAGCAAGTGTTCTAAGTATAGCCTTTTCACGCTTATCCATAACTTTCTTTTTATAACTTGTAGTTTTGACATCATCGATTAACGTGCTAGTAGTTGTTTTAATAGTTGTGACAGTACTTGTAGTTTCGTCTTCAACGTATCTTAAAGATTCTCGAACACTAGCAATGATAGTACCCACAGTCTCATCTTCAACGTGACTCAAAGATACTCTTTCACTAGCTGTGTCGCTTTTTGTGACAGTACCTTCTGTTTCATCTTCAACGTGACTAAAAGATTTTGTTTCTGTTTTTGTGACGGTACCTGCGACTTCATCTTCAACACATCTTAAGGATTCTCTTAAAGATTCAGACTCACTAGCTTTATCACTTTTTGTGACAATATCAATGGTTTCATCTTCAATGTGCCTTAAATAACTTCTTTCACTTTTTGTGACAGTTTCGAAAGATAATTCGTCTTCATTGAGTTCAGATCCGAAATTTTCTATAAATTGGCTATTAGGACGTGAGCTGAACAATTCACCTTCAACGAGTTCCAAACGTCCTTTCGCACTAAGATCTAATTTTTCAAAACTTTCTAAAAATTGACTGTTGGGACGTGAATCGGTAGTTGTAAATGCCTCATCGAAATTAGCTACTCTAGGGTCAGACATTTTCTTTTTTTAACAAACAAGAGATAATTTTTAAATCTCTTATAATGAGTTAATACTTAAAGTGAAGCTACTTATCTTCTTTTTTTTTTTTATTTCGATAATAAAATATCCGGAGTTTTGATCTGATGTACAAACGTTACAAATTTTAATAAAAGCATAAAATTAGAATTTGATTTGACCAAACATGCATAAATTAATGATAAATTGTTTTTATATACACTTATTTGTAAAAATAATGAAGAAAAAAGAAAAATAATCTATTTTAAGTTTGGAACAAAGAAATGGCAAATTTTAATTAAAATTAACATTGTATCACTTTAATTGATTTTATAAATGATTTCTGCTACTAAATTATTCCTAGTTTAAAGATTGTTGTCGTCTTTAGTAGATTTATGTTATAAAGTTTGCGCGAGATATATTTCTATATCAAGCCGAATTATACTAGCTATATCTTTTATTCTTATTTTATTATTGTTTTTGGCAAAAACATAATCATTAATCGGATACGTATTCTCATATAATAATCAAAATGATTTTTAGTAATTATAAAAAGTAATGCTGCCAATTATAGTATTATTAATTTTGAAAATATTAACTAATTTTCATTTTATTAAACATTTATTAAAAATGGAGCTTTATAAATATTTGTGATTTCGGAATTCAGATTCTTTAATTAGGTCTGCCATATACGTATTTATTAAGGCATAATTCGAAAATTTCATAGACGATTTTATTGTGAACTAAAGTAAATCATGATTATTGTATTATTCAATTTTACGGCGCTAAGAACGGCTGAAACTTTGATTCTAAATTCTTATGAATATGTATATCAATTAGGTATCATACTCAAATAATTTTAATTCACGTACATCAGGAAATTTTTTTATTTAAGGCTATTAATCGATTAGTAACACTCCCCGTCGAAAGGAATTGATATAAATAAAAATCGATAGTTATTATACTTGTCGATAGAAATCGATATATTAAAAATCGATAGTTATCATGTCTATTGATAGAAATCGATATATAAAAATCAATAGTTATCGATATAGTAAAAATTGATAATTATAGTTATCGATAGAAATCGAAATTGTAAAATTGATAGTTATCGTATTATCGATAGTTATCAATAAATAATTTATCGATAGTAATTGATTATTAGAAACTATTGATTATTAACTTTATCAATTAAAATCAATAGGGATATTTGCCGATAGCAAACACCACCATCGATTGTTATTGATTAAATTTAACCGATAATAATTGATTAGTTGTTAGCAATCATCACTTAATCAGCTTAAAAAATTTCCTGATGTACTGGTCAAATCAACTTTGCAAAACCTTAAAAAAATTGGCTTAATTTTATTTTAAACATATAATATGCCAATATATAATTACTTATATCAGTAGTTCTCGAACACCTTGTTCAATGGGCCGTAAGGTAATTTTTAATTAGTGGAAAATTATTTTAACTGATCAAACACGCTTATCATTATTGCGGTTTGCATAATTTTGTGACCCCTACGATTATTTTTTTTTTATGTTTAAATGATTGTAATTGCGATCGCAATTGCTAAAGCCAGCCAATGTATCATGAATCTGAGTTCAGATTTATGACAAATTGGCCGGCTTTAGCAATTACAATCGCAATCATAATTATTTAATCATAAAAAAAAATTAATCATAGGGGTCACAAAATTATGCAAACCGCAATAAGATAAATAAAATGGCATCAGGAAATTTTTTAAGCTGATAAGTGATGATTGCTAACAACTAATCGATTATTATTGGTTAAATTTAATCAATAACAATCGATGGTGGTGTTTGCTATCGGCAAATATCTCTATTGATTTTAATTGATAATGTTGATAATCAATAGTTTCTAATAATCGATTATTATCGATAAATTGTTTATCGATAACTATTGATAACTATCGATAAAACTATCGATAACTATCGATAACTATTATCGATTTCTATCAATAGGCTTGATAACTATCGATTTATATCCCACGGCCCCCAATGTTCTCCCGTGAACATTCCTGATGATATTTTTATGATTACGTAATGCCGTGAAAATATCAAAAATTTTTCCACGGCCATGACGTAATCAGTAAAAATTTTAATCAGAAATATTACGGGCATAGGAACCGTGGGATATAAAAGATATTTCACGGTGTGTCATGAACACAATGTATTACCACGGCTCCGCCGTGCTAATCCATCATATTCACAACAGCCCGTGAAATATCTATTACATATATAATAGTATCATTAACTCAATTTTGCAAAAAATACCATAAGCCATGTTTTTGTTGACCGGACCCATAATACCGATACGTAATAATTAAAATATTAACAAAATCATACCGATACGTACTATAGGTATATTTAATACGCACAAAAAAAAAAAGAAAAGCTTTTAAATTAATTATTTTTACAACTGGATTTTATACTTATCGTTATTTTTATTTTGAAAATAAATTTTTTAATAATTTTTCTTTGTCAATGTAAATTTTTAGCTAATAAGAGTCAAGACATGCTTTAATAAAATTGAATTGTTCATTTTTACCAACATAATACTGTATAAATAAAATAGTACGAGAAGCATCATTTAAGTTGTATTTCACGAAGTGAATAAAAAAAAAATAATAATAAAAAATAATAAATAAATAATAATTATAATGTGACTTCAATTTTTTTTTTATTAATAATAATAAACCAATGCCCCATTTTTCTTTGGCATCACTCCTTTAATATCGACATGGTTTCCCACTAAACTACTTTCGGTTAAAAAAAATTGGCAGATGTTGATAATCATCTCTTGCATTCAGTGGTACTTTAAAACTTTTTAGTAGTTCTTTTAGAACATTCTCAGAAATTAAATCCTGTTTTGATTTCGGTAAAGTCGAAATTATACATTTTCAGTAGGCATCCGGTTTGCTCCGGATAACAAAAAATTAAAATATTATTTAGACTCTTTCTAATAAATAAGAAAACTGACAATGGATATGCACAGTAGCTTAATCTGATTCTATTGATTTACGGGGTTAGGTTAAAACAGTCATACATTTACTGAGATTACAGAGATGGATGACCTGAATTGAATTCAAAGGAAGAAATTCGTCTGATTGGTCAATTTTTATGGATATACCCGTGATAATTAAAAAAAGATTTAGTATAATAGCTAAGAAACAAAAAACTTCATATGTAAATTAATAAATATGCAGAAGAATTAATTAAATTCGTATACAGTATTCGAAGAATAGGTAGATACTCGTAAAATGGGGTAAAAGTGGTATTTATTATGAATAAGCTCGAACTTATTAATAATTATATAGGCCAAAGCTTATTACGATTGACAAACCCCAAACAAGCTGCAAAATCAGAATATTTATATAGTTGGTAATAAAAGCTAACGTGCTTAGGTAGTTTCGGTATAATTTGGTTCTAAGTAAAGTTTTCCAGGAGTCTGATCTTTTTTTGATTCTTTTGTACAGTGAACGTTAGTACGTACTTTGCTGAAGTTATTTTTCATAGTGAAACGTTACATTCTTAAAAAGTACATATAAATTTGTTACCTGAGCAATTGAACTACACTACGAATTTCTTCCTTTGAGAATTGTATAAAGTTGTGAAATACCTGGTTTAAAAAACAATTACAAAACAATTACACTAACCCTAGCAATATACTATACAGTACCGGAACAGCAGGGACAGTGCCCCATATGTAGATCGTCGTTTAACGTTACACAATACATAAAAAATTTTTTTATATACTTTTAAAGTACTTCGGACATCTTGTATTACTCGCTTGCGTAATAAGCTAAGTGCCGATACATTACTAAGTAGACTTGAAGCCTTTATATCGTAGAACACAATATCTGCTGAATCCCTCTGAATCCCACCACGTTAACGTTATATTCAAAATGGAAATGCTTTGAATGTAAGGAGTCTGGCCCATCAAAGTTTCGTCAGTTAAAAGACGAAACATAGAAGAAAATCCAAAGTAAAGGTTTGGTAAGAGAAGGGTGGAGTGAATATATGATGCTTTGTAACCATTGTTATATAAATCATGTGTCAAACCCTCTTAAAAGAGGAAACAAAGTTACTAATAAAGAATTTCTAGAAGCAACTGAGATAGATAT